ACTACTTACGGGGCTCATACATATACAGTTAAAATTTCTTAAAAATAGTAAATTTTTTCGTATTTAATGAATGAATTTAGTCATAGATACAAGTTATGGATGACATACTATAACATCCATTTAAATGTTTACACAATCTATAAAATTTATACCCGATGGGTTGTTCGACAAATCGATTTTTAATCCGCTAATCTGTGAGTTCCGCTCGAGATGATTTTAGCAGACATCTAGCACAAATTATGTGCCCCACGTGTATAGACATTTGTGTATCGGTCCTTAGAAAGGGAATCCCTAAGCCCTTATGCTAGATAGGTGGTCTTTATGTTTCCTTCTAAATGAAGTAACTTAATACCACGTTTAAACATCGTTTTTCACGTTACCGTCGCGTTGTGAAATAAAAAAATGTTTGAAAAACAAAGGGATGTTTTTGTTGAGGAATATACAGTATTAAAAAATAAAGAACTTTTTGTAAAAAACTGTGAGATAATACAGACAAATACGTTGATATATAATGTGGAAATTATTTATGATATGGAACTATACAGGGTGATTGATTAGTGTGAGGAAGCTCAGTAGATCTGTTATAGTAAAAATTACAAAAAAAAGTTATTAACAAAAATTGTAGGCAGCTTTAAACTCCATATTTTAAAATTAGTTACAATCCTACAGGGTGTTCCATAAGATGGTGGCAGACCAAACTTATGTTTTTTTAAATGAAACACCCTGTATTTTATTTTAAATTTGAAATCTGCTTCACTTCCACATTACAACAATGTAAAGTTTTATTATGTTATACCGGGTATTTAAAAAGTTATAACCAATATTACCTGAAAATCGTATCAAGTTTAACTCCCTGTATAATTAAAAAGGATTGTAGGAACATTGATCTATTGCAACCATAGTTTTTTAATAATTGTTAAAAACTATAAAACATATTCATTTTCATAATATTCGTTAAATCAAATACAGGGTAAGTCAAAATGCAAGTACATTATTTTCTTGGTAATTTTAAATAGAACACCCTGTATTTTATATCACTATCGAAAAGAACTAATATCGTACTTCATATTTTATGAAGTACTCCCTATACCTAAAGTTATTAGTTTTAAAGATATTTTTATTTTTCCATCAAAGTATTAATTTGGTAGATATTTTAACGTTTACCAATAATTATTGTGAGTTGGCCATGATTGATTTGTCAGAAACTGACAGTTTGACATTAATATTTATTAATTCAGTATTGGGGTACACCGTAAATTAGCAACAATTATTATTTAGTAATTCAGTAATTGATTCAATTTAAATTAGCAATAATGAATTTTACTACTGATGAAATGGTAGATATGATCTGGATATTGGGGGAATGCAATAAAAATTCATTACTATCAGCTAGAATTTATCAAGAACGGTTTCCAGATAGGCGACAACCTAGACAAGATACATTTGAAAAATTGAAAGATCGATTTAACCGCACTGGTTCAGTGAATTATGAAAAACATGAACGAACAAAAACTAGTGTGACAGAGGAAAACGAAATGAGTGTGTTGATGGCGGTTACAGAAAACCCACACACAAGCATAAGGACTATTTCCAATGAACAAGAACTTAGTTACTACTCTGTTCAAAACATTCTATCTAAAAACAAGATGCACCCTTATCATATTCAAAAGCACCAAGAATTAATTAATGATGATTTTCAGAAACGAATAGTATTTTGTGAATGGGCCTTAGAAAAAATTAATGAGCAGAGAGATTTTTTTGATTATGTCCTATTTGGTGATGAAGCTACATTCCATCGAAACGGTTCTTTTAATAGGCATAACTTTCACTACTACTCAACAAGTAATCCATACCACATAGTAACACATAGTCAAACAAGATGGTCTCTAAATGTGTGGGGAGGTATCGTCGGTAACCATGTAGTAGGACCATATTTTTTTGAAGATAATTTAAATGGTGAGATTTATTTAGATTTTATCGTAAATCAGTTACCGATATTATTAGAAGAGGTTCCACTTAATATACGTGAAAAAATGTGGTTTCTACATGACGGTGCTCCTGCGCACCACAACGAATTAGTACGTGGTGAACTTAATAATCAGTTTGGGGAAAGATGGATCGGAAGGGATGGACCGGTAAGGTGGCCCCCAAGGTCACCAGAATTCAATAAAATGGACTCATTTTTTTGGGGTTACGTTAAGAACGAAGTATATAAAATACCCCCAACAACAAGGGATGATATGAAAAATAGAATCCGAATTGCATTTCAAAATATTTCTTTACAAATGCTTAGTAATGTAACCAACTCTTTCAATGACCGTTTTCAAGCATGCATAGATGTTTTGGGAGGTCATTTTGAACACCTTACTTAAGTAAGATAAGTTAAACTTACTGTTGTTTTTAATTTTTCTATGTGTTGTTATATTTTTTTTTATTTTCCGTCGGTTATTTTTTATAAATTTTATTTTAAATAAATTGTTTTCTTTTCTGTGTCGTTATTTCGTTACTAAATTATTAAACAATAATGTCAAACTGTCAGTTTTTGACAAATCAATCATAACCAACTCACAATAATTATATTGTGAGTTGGTAAACGTTAAAATATCTACCAAATTAATACTTTGATGGAAAAACAATAATATCTAGAAAACTGATAACTTTAGGTATAGGGAGTACTTTATAAAATTTGAAGTACGATATTATTACTTTTTGATAGTGATATAAAATACAGGGTGTTCTATTTAAAATTACCAAGAAAATAATGTATTTGCATTTTGACTTACCCTGTATTTGATTTAACGAATATTATGGAAACGAATATGTTTTATAATTTTTAACAATTATTTAAAAACTATGGTTGCAATAGATCAATGTTCCTATACTCCTTTTTAATTGCACAGGGAGTTAAACTTGATACGATTTTCAGGTAATATTGGTTATAACTTTTTAGATACCCGGTATAACATAATAAAACTTTACATTGTTGTGATGTGGAAGTGAAGCCGATTTTAAATTTAAAATAAAATACAGGGTGTTCCATTTAAAAAAACATAAGTTTGGTCTGCCACCATCTTATGGAACACCCTGTAAGATTGTAACTAATTTTAAAATGTGGAGTTTAAAGCTGCCTACAATTTTTGTTAATAACTTTTTTTAGTAATTTTTACTATAACAGATCTACTGAGCTTCCTCACACTAATCAATCACCCTGTATATAGAATATAACTAAAAAATTTGAAAAAATCAATTATTAAAAGAATTACTATTAATATATTGCGAAATAAAATACAGCTTTGATCTTAGCTCTGACCACAGTCCCTAATCATAACTATACTTACAGAAATCTTGCATATTGAACCTATTCCTCGCTTGTGCACTAATCAGACATATTGAGAAACGTTTCAAGAATATATAAATTTAAATATAAACGTTAACATAAGACTTAAAGGACTTATCTTTGCTTGAACAAAAAGGCGTGTGGAAGGCAACCTCTACATATAGCCAAAATCAAATCAACAATATACCAAAGAACTAGTATTGAAAAAAAAGAAAAGCTAGAAGAACATGGCAAAATACAAGAAATCCTTACGACAAAGAGTTACACGCCGGTACTCGGCTACATGATTTTGGTATGTAGTTTACAGATCGAGTTTCCTTCTCCTAAAATATTGTCCGTAATTTTACTGTGCATAAAGCGGGCGTGCCCATTGTAGGAGTTTCTAAGATCCCCCAAAAAGCAGCGGAAATAGCCACAAAAAGCAGCGGAAAAGCAGACTCCGAAAACGAAGGAAAAGCAGCCAAAGAACAGAGCAGAAAAACGCCCTCCCACCGACGAGCCAAAGGTCAAAAAAACAAACAAGACCCAGGAAGAATTCCTGGCCTTACCAAACAGGGAACCTCAGATGTACCAGGACGACAGCGCGTACGCTTTGCCGCACCCTCCAAATCCACAATCAAATGAAGACATGGAAACTGGCGACAACGCGAGTAGGCTTAAGTAAGAAGCAAGCAATTTCAGTTTTGCGGATAAATCACAAGAGGATAACAGGAATAAAGAGCTTAACGCTAGCCTGAATTTGAATCGGCTGGGGAACCATGTTGGCGTTCTATTACGCAGGACTCCCACATGAAGAGCATTTGGCTGATAGTTGTGCCTCTATCGCGTATCAGACGCTATAGGGAAGACGCTAAAGGGATAGTCTGGAGCATTGGAGCGATATGGAGTGATTCCTGTGTACATTCAAATTAATATACCTCGCTCCAATGAATTGTTATACACAAACGAAATTTTAAGGGGTGAAAAAGTCTCACAGGCTAGGTTCAATTAAATTGCTTACTTGCAGGGTTTTCAAAGTCATTCCTAGTTTTGATCCTAGTGTACTTGTTTATGTACTTTCAGATATATTAG